GTGCATATATATATATATATATATATATATATATATATATATATATATATATATATATATATATGAAAATAAGGGTGTTAATGTGTACCTATTTCTCCTATAAAGAGAGACATAAACCAAATAACGCTAGAAGAAGCATAAAATCTATCGACAGTTTCCCCCTTTGGAGTAGATAAAAATAAAGTTGCTGCTTCCAGAATTCGAACTAAAGTCTGCAACATAGGTCAAAGCGAAAAACATTAAAAATAGTAGCAAGGAAGTTATTTTGCCCTTGCTCGAGCTCCATCCTTTAAAACTTATTTATATTAAACTCATTTTCGACCACACATTCTCTCAATAAAATTATTTGCATGTAAATCCCCTACCTTTTAACAACAGGTTCTTCAAAAAATTCACTTTTTACAAATTCTACTTTCAAAAAATGGCGCTCAAGCATGGGCTTAGCATTTTATTCTATAGTTTAGCGAGCCCTAATAAGGGTCAATCAACACTGCTCAATGGGGAAGAAAGAAGAAAAAAGTGTTGGCCAAATTTTACAAATTATTATGACACCGTACCTTGATAATAAAATGGAGCATGGCTGCATATATCCATACAATAGTGCTACAACAATTGATAGCTGACTGAGGATGATGTTAGCCAGCAGCTAAATTCGTTTGTCAATTTGTGAACTATCCTACATGATTTTTTTTGTCATTATTTAATTCAAAAAATTAGCTAAAAATGGAAAGGAATATAATATCATTTCTCTGCTATTTTAACTCCTTACTTAGCATTTCCCATCTAGTTTTTTTTTTTTCCTTCAATTCTCTCTACCTATGGTTTTATATCATAATTAATTTTAAACCAATATATATCAAATAGCTAATTTTTGCTGAGAAAATTGCAATCAATTGAGTATGGATGTAAGTACCTGAGTTAAAATCAAAGCCAAGAGATGGGATTTACCTTCAGCAACCTTTTAATATCCTTTGAAAGAAAGAAAGAAAAAAAATACCAAATTCAATTGAAGTTAAACAATTCAATCAATAAAACCGTAATTCAAAGGGAAAAATGCAAGAAAAGTGAAGGTAAGCATACTGGAGTTGACAACCATGCGGTAGGAGAAATCAGAGCCATCGGTTCCCAATGGCCTTCCGCTTACGGGTTTTCTCTGACTCATTTTGTCTCGATTCTTTTCAAATTTTATTTGAAAATTTTTCGTCTGTTGCTGTCTCAGCTTTGAACAAATAACCTACTAGAGGAGTTGCAATGGCAAATCTTTTACGATGAAAATATGTGAATGAAAACCAACCATGTTCTTTTGCTAAACGTCTAAACCACTACTCTTCAAAGAAGATTCGACCCATTAATACAGTGGAACTTCAGAATGCTTGTTCTAGTAAATTTGATATACAGAAATTTGTTCATTTAAATCTATTCATAATGTAATGAATGGAAAATATTAAATATTAATTTCGAGCTTATATTTTTGTATCAGTGATCAGAATTACTTGTCAAAATAGACAAAGTAAACAACAATTTGACACTAATAATGATATGCAAATATTAATACATGTGGTGAAATTCAATTTATTTATTTTCAAAATAACACAATTTTAAGATGAAGCTGCTTCACTGTTTAAATTGAAAAAGCAATTAAAAACAATAAACTTCAACATTCATCCAAAGGATTTCCGTTTGTATCTCAGTTCTTAGTCCAGACAATTGGAATGCACAAATGACTAAACTTCATAATCAAGAAAATTCAAGTAAACTAAAAATTTCAACATCCAGCAAATTCAATTTACAGTAGAAATTCAAAACTCGAAATTAGTTAACTATTCACTAAAAACTAATAAGTCTTAATCAAATTATCTAATAAAATTATAAAAGCAATCAAGAGTCTAGCCTGAAATTCAAAGGAAAGAGGTGTCGAAATTGTAAAATAAAATTAAAAAAAAAAGGGAGAAACGCGTAAATTTATTAGAAGAAAAAAAATTCATCCAACAAAATTGATAAATAAATTAAACTCTGGATATACACCTGATTGAATAAAACATAATGTGGAAAAACACCGACTCAAGGAATCGTACAACAAAATTGCTAAATAGATAAAACTCTAAATATATACCTAATTGAATTAAATGTAATATGGAAAAACACAGATTCTTGGGCGGATTTGGATAGAAATATAAATATTAATTTTATACTTGTATTAGGTATAAAATTGGGGTTGGATCTGGACACGGGAGTGATTTGTTGGTAATATAAGGGGAAAATTCCGACCTTTTAAAGGTCGAAAAAAGAGGGTAAATTTCACAAGGACTGAAGTCCTAACCTACCATTTGTTGCAGTCAAGTCCTTGATCTTTTAAATTGTTGACCCATGCCCTCACTTAATAGAATATGTTTAGCCCTTGTTTGAGCCACATTATTGGAATGAAAATGTATTTTTGAATAGTGTATTGATGAAAAATGTGTGATTAAGAAATAAGGAAAAGTTTTAAATTTGCTTGTAATATTATTTTATTGAAGAATGTGTGATTGAAATGATATCAAATCACCGTTGAAAGATGTATTTTTTTGAAAAAATGTAATTTAAACAAGGCCTTGAACTCTAAATGGCCAGGTGACAAGAAGACACTCATTTGATGTCAGTGAATTCAACTTTCAATTATTAGAAATTTAAATAGGGCACAACTTTCAATGTTCATAAAACCTACGTGCATGCTTGGTTCTGATTTTTCACCCTAAAAACCAATTTTTTGATTGTTATTTCCTTAAGTCAACCGTCATTCTTGATTTCTTCTCTCACAGGTGAAATTCACTTTTTTCTTTAACGGTCAAAAAATCAATTCTCATTATCATTATCGAACAAGCATTATACTGTTGCTTCAATTCATCTCTGACATGAAGAGAGTATCGTGAGATCATATAACTTTCAAATAAACATTTTATATTAGCCAACGACACGAAAGCCATAATTTTAAATGCAAAAGGGAAAGAATCCCCTTGTAAAACTAGTATTTCTGATCATAAATCACACAACTTTTACATTTCCTTAATGAATAATGAAAATAATGAAACATATCATGTATTCAATTTGGGTTTGAATAATGTTAAATGCATTTTGGAGGAAGAGCAGACACGAGCCATACATTTTTTACGCCAACCCTGTATGGAAACAGTCATGATTTGATCACCCCTAGAGTTGCAGCTTCAAGTGAAACAGCATGCCTAGCATCCCCAATATGAATAGCGTGTTCACCCATAGGAATCCTTCGAATTCCAGCCCTATCGACAACACTAAGGTACTTACACACGTGAATCTTGATAGAAACTCGCTGCTGTCCCTTCGCGGGCACGTACACTTTCTCAAATGCAACCAATTGTTTGTGTGGTGCCCAATGTCCTCCAGGAGGCGATGAATATACAAGTAACGTGTGTGTGCCATCTCGAGACCCTATATTTCTCACATCAACGTAAAAACTAATGGATAGCCTATTACATTTTGCATGTGTAACTCGAACGGCCTGGCTAGTAATGGTGGTGTTGGTATGGTGGCGCCCGTGAACAGTGACTGAAACAACCGTTGGAGCATCTGCAATTGTGTGAACAAAGTTTGTGTAGCTCAGTCCATGCCCAAATGGATACACCACATCTCCCTTGTAGAAACGGTAAGTCCTCCCCGGATAGCCACTTGAAGGATTTGATCGCATATCCATTGCAGTCATTGGCAAGTTGTTTAAGTATTCCTGCGGGTACCATGTAATTGGTAGCTTCCCACCCGGATTATGCATTCCGAATAGGATATCAGCTATTGCGGCTCCTCCTGCTTGGCCGGGATAGCCAGCCCAAACAATTGCACCAATTTTTGGATCGTTTTTTGCAAATGATACATCAATAGGACCTCCACTCATTAATACCAAGATCGTCGGACCTCTTGACGCCATGGCAACCTTACTAACAAGCTCTTGTTGACGTCCTGGTAGGAGGAGGCCAGCTCTATCTCTGAATTCAGCTTCAATTGACTGGTCTAGTCCCATAACTAGAACAGTTGCATCTGCTTGACGTGCTGCATCAACTGCTCCTCCAAAGAATACCTCATCAGCACAAGCCACATTGGCACAACCTTGTTGATGAATAGTCCTAGTATACCTTCCTATTCCTTGTAATGGAGTTGTATATCCACAAGCAACACCTACATAATAACCAAGAACTATGAGTACAATTCCTTTGTTATGTTTTTCGAAATATATTTTACGAAGGTTAATCACGTCATATAAATGCAAAATGGATGTAGCGTTTACCAGCATAATTGCCAATCATTGTGATAGTGACATCCGAGTTAGGCCCAATTACTGCAATAGTATGATGCCGTCGAGGAGACACAGGTAGTGAAGGGCCATGATTTTTGAGAAGAACAATGCCCTGTCTAGCGGCTTCAAGTGCAAGCTCCTGGTGAGCTAGGGTGCATACATCTTTTGCACCCAAGTTACCATATGGCTGCGTCGATGGCTCTCCATCAAACATCCCCAACCTCATTTGAACAGCAACTGTATTAGCTAAGGCAACCATTATATCATCTTCCTTTAGTAACCCCTTTTGTACTGCATTCTCTGTGTGTATTGCAAGGAATGGCCCACAATCCAAATCCAAACCTGTATAATATAAAATCCAAAGTTACTAACAGAACTCATTTTTCTAGAAAAACAACTAAAAAGTATGGTTAGAAGTGTACCTGCTTTGATTGCATCTGCTGCTGCTTCTTCTGGCGTTGATGTATAATGTTGATTATCGTAGAACACGCCAACTGAATCACAGTCTGAGACGATGTAACCGTTAAGGCGCCAAGCACCTCGTATAGTTTCTCGAAGAAGTTTCGGATCCGCGCAGGTGGGTACGCCATTGACTTGATTGTAAGAGCACATTACACTTGCAACCTTACCTTCCATAACACAACTTCTAAATGGAATGTCAAATGTATCTACAATATCTTGCTTACTAACCTGCACAATTTGGTGTCGTATTTATTTAACTATGTGGTCTAACAACTCAAATTATTCTAGACATAATAGTTGGCAGATAAAATGAAATATTAAACCTTATTAGAGCCTCATTCTTCAAACGTTTTTTTTTTTAAACTCATTTTAATCATATATTTTTTAAACATAAATCCAAAATTTCTTCGTGCTTTTTAATCACGTCCTTCGGGAAAAAAAAAATCACTATTACAAAACTTACTTTCCTAAAAAAAAAAAAAAAAAAAAAAAAAAAAAAAAAGAAAGAGGAGTTCAAACACTTTAATGAATTTACTATTAAAATTCATATTTGATTTTTACTGCATCTATAGTGTCATGAGAATCAATGTCTACGTTCAGAAATCAATTGGGCAATGGGCACGGTCAGAAACACACATCAGCCATTGATTAGACGTCCAATACCTTTGCATTAAAGTGGAATCTATCGACCCCACTCCAGTTATCAAGGTCGTACGCCGTATAATGCTTGCAACAAGCCGCCACTTTCAGCCGGTCGCCGCCGTCTGTCCCCTGTAGTCCTCTGATGTAACTCGCCGCATATTTACCAGCCAGTACAGGGTCTTCTCCGGGAGTCTCTTGTCCCCTCCCCCATCTTGGGTCACGAAATATATTAACATTTGGGCTCCAAAATGTCAGGCCCGCCATACCTCCATTGTACATTGCTCTTGCCTCATCTGACACAACCTGTACGTAGGCCCATGTTACTAGGATAAGATCATGTTTTAGGCCCAACTTTGGTGGGCTCATGGCCCACCATGCTATTTTCATTTGCTAGCATTTGATTGGCCACTTGCAAAGAAAAGCTGTTTTGTACTTTGTACTTTTTGACCTTTTATTTGTTTCAAGATTCTTCAAAATTTTTGAAGAGCAGCAATATTTGTCCAAATTCGAAGGAAAAAAAAAAGTAGACTGACGTGATAGTAGATGACTGGGTGCTTATTGTTTTTATTTTTCAAACAATTTAATCATGTGTTGACACGTGTATCTTTAGCTTGTTTGTGTAGCACTGTTCATTTTTGAAATGGACTGCTAAATTTTTTTAGCCACTCCTTTGAATAGCAAAATTCTTAGAATCGGCCAAATTAGCCGCAACGTACTTAGGTTTTCTTTAAAGGGATGGTGTCATTTTTCTCAATGAAAACGTCACTTTCAGAGAAAAATATATTATCAGCTTTGGTAATGGGTCGGTCCAACAAAGATGACAATTTTGATAAGTTCCATATCTCTATAATTATTATAATGTATGGGTTTCACAATATTGCAGTAACAATTCATGCATTTGCATAAACCAAGTTCAAATTTCTGGGCTTGGTGATAATAGAACAACACCTCAGCAAAACAACCTAGGAAGCATGCATTATTAATCTTATAAAGACTTCTTACCCGTCCAATTTCCTCCCACAATGAAGCATTGAACGAAGCTGCGGTGGTGATAACCTGAGGGAAGCTGGTAGCGCCACGGAAGTCACCACCAAACTTTGTACCGGGTCCTACATCTGAGACGCCGTGAAGAGCCTCCGACCACCACTCGTAACCTTTAACACCCAGCCGAGGCACGGCGGAGGCACCATTCACTAAGAGCTTCACCTTCTCTTGCAATGTCAAACGTCCAATAAAATCTCTTACTCTATCAGGTATGGGTAAATTGGATTTACAAAATGCCAAGTTTTTAGTTGTCGAGTCTTTCGGATCACATGCAAAGGGTAGCCGGGCTTCTGCAATGTGATCCGAATTTAGAACAAGGAAAAAGAAGAGAACTGAAAGAGAAATGGATAGAGTGGTGATCCGACCCATATCCATTTTTGAAAGAATATTTGGGTCTTTTTCCCTTGTTGTTGTATAAGCTAAGGAATAAGAGAAAATGGTGCCTATATATATGTGTGTGTATTGGGGTCGTCCATGATTTTGTTTCACTGTTTTAAGAAATGTCTTTTTGGGAAGTGGAATGCAACTTGCAACAAGAGCCCCGTTTGGTAGCAATTTCTTTTCAAAATATATTTTTCTTTCTCTTCTTTTCAACCACACATTTTTTTATTAAAATAATATTACACGTAAATAAAATTTTTTTCCTTATTTCTTAACCATACATTTCACATCAATTTACTATTCTAAAATACATTTTTACATAAAAATACCTATCAAACACTACTTAGATGTAAAGAACACTTTAATTTCCCATTTTATATTTAGATAAAGAAAGTGATATAAAATTGATGGGCAAGTAGATGAGAAAAACATAACCTAGCTAGTCAATCCATTCACAAGTCATGTTTGACAAAGGAAACGATCAAACAGTACAATTGACATCGATGCACGAGTAAGAGATGGGAAATATGAATCTCAACAATTGACACGAGTGTGAAATGTATTTTACAATCGAGATTTGAGGTACTGAAATAATGTCCTATTTACTTCTCAAACATGTTTAATTACAAATGGAAAACAAAGTTGCATTGCGTTTGACCAACCCCTTCAGACTATACAAAAAATACTTCCTCTGCTACATGTTACAGTCAGTAGTGAATTGAGTGGAGTTAGATTTCAGAACAAGGCAACAATTTTTTGTAAGAGTAAGGATAAAGTATTAAGAAAAAATAGGAAAAAGCATAAGAGGAAATTAGAAGCAAGTTGTGGCCTTTTGTTGGTTGGCTATTCAATAATTTTTGCTTAGAAAAATGTATGAAGATAAGCTTCTCTTTTCCTTTAAGATATCCCTTGTCAGGCTATCATGTCCTTTTATACCTAAAAGTTATTATCAGATCCAAACCCTCAATTAATTCAACCCTATTATATCAATAATATTTATACATTTTAATGCATATATATATATATATATATGATAAGTATCGTTGCTCATCTTCTATTAAGTACCGATGATATGAGTTAATATGACACATCAATGATACTTAAAATAAAATGAGCATCAATGCTCATTAGATCATTTCTCTCTCTCTCCCTCACGTGTATAACACAGGCTACTCAAGATAAGGTCGAAAATCCATCCCAATTAAATGCTATACGTTTGAGGGCTAACCCCTTATTAAGGCCCTGTTTGTTTCCCATTTTGGTAAGAATGAGAATGAAAAATATAGTCGTTATGAATTTTACACAAGAGATAAAAATTCAAATTTAGTGGTTTGATGTAATGGATAACGATCATATTTTTCATTTTAATGAGAAAATAATGGAAAACAAATCAGGACTAAATAAGCTCACTCGATGTTTATTTTATTTTATTTTTAATCAATGAATCCAATGATGGTTGTTAAGGAAATTGACGAGAGAATAAAGAAAAAAACAAGAAAGAAAGAGTGAACAGGTGAAAATTGGGTAGGACTAGATAATGCGAAGGACCAATATGTTAACTTGAATTGGAAGAGAGGAGTGATTCTGTCGGTGCTGGTCGGCCAACTCGTTTAATGACATTAATAAATATAAGGATAATGTTATTCCTCAATTTAATACATCCATTCCTGAGCTTGTTACAAATAAACAAAAACAAGAGAGAAAGCCTGACATTTTCTGTCATTAAGAAAATAAAAAGAAATGTTTTTGACAAAAGTAGAACACTATATTAGAGGGTGTTTTCACGCCCGTTATCATGGAAAAATAAATTTTAGTATAGTAAATTGTTGAAAAATGTATGAATGAAAAATAAAGGAAAAAGTTTTTGATTTATATGTAATATTATTTTAATAAAGAATATTTAGTTGAAAAGAAGAGAGAAAAATGCATTTAAAAAAATGAAAATCAAACGATACCTTAAAACTACATCCAATTATAATTATTACTAATTTTTCCCTTCCTGCGTATAGTCTAAATATTTGATTCCCATTTTTCTAAAAATGAGAATGAAAAATATAATCGTTACGGATCTATACAAAAGATAAAAGTCAAATATAGTGATTTAATGTGATGAATAACGATCATATTTTTTATTTTTGTGTGACCAAAGAATGAGAATCAAACGGGGGCTATTCATTAACGTTGAGAGTGTCGACAAAATCAAAGGCGATTATTTACCACCTAAACGATGATGCATCTTTATTATACATAAATGACACTATTCTTTCTATAAATCTAACTCATCTAAACAACTTGAGTTGCCTACCTTCGTGCATTTGAGAAATGGATTGTCCAACTTGGTTTGTCAACGTTAATGAATCACAGTGTCTTGTACTTACGATTTATTTACTTTTTTGTGTATCTAATAAAAATTCCTCAATTAACATTTGCATATCCTTATAATTATGTAATGATAATAAGTGGTAGGGCAAAAGAAACGACTGTAAATCATTAATGGCTATAACCACCACCTTTTTCCGTTATAGCTATCCATAATATGATTACACAAGTTCTGAAATGAAGGTTGTTAGGCTGGTGATGATGGAGAAGACAGATTTCGTACCCACAAATCAATGCTCACCAGCTGGCTATATCACCCTCACAATTAATTTCTCATTATTTCAATATAATCATGGAAATGTGGGAAATAAATATTTGATGAACATAATCTTGGTTTATACATAAGTTATCTGTAATTAGCCTTTTATTTTTATTTTTTTCCGGGTTCTTTCCCCATCTTCGAAGAAGAAGGGTCTCAGTTGTAACTAATATAAACCTTAGTTGACAGCACCCTAGTTTATATATCAAGAAACCCATTTGAAGCCATCGCCATAACCTATTTTGGGTATGATTCTATGCATAAATACCTCTAAAGAACGCACATTAGACCATGCAAGACTCACCTTCTCTCTGACGGTGGTTATACCAGTCATGCCTAGGTGATAAGACGACTAATCTTCCAAGGCAGCACATGGCATGTCATTCTTGTTACCCAAAATGAGAAAGGATATATTTTCTTTGATTCTGAAAAACGCTTTTATGGTAGGTATCGACCAAATAGACAGCATCGACCTGTAATACCATAAGACAAATGGCAAGTTCTTATTAGAGAATCAGAATCAGATATTACTAATTGTGAATTTTTAGCTTCTCAGGTAGTGAATTGACACAATCAGAAGTCAACACCTTCGAGCATAATATCAGATTCATTGTGCATTTTGTGCTAACTGCAAACTGTAAAAGAGAAATATTCACCATCAGTTAAACTAGCTATGTGATGGAAACCTTCTGAACCTAAATACGTGTAACAAATGAGTTTTATGTCATGTCTGCATCATTATTATCATTATTGCTCTTATGAAGGAGAATACTCCATTATTAGTGCAGGAGGCTTCTTCGATTAGGGCCAATCGAAGGAAGAAAAATGGATAAAGAACTACAAATATAAAAATGCAAGTTCAATCAATCTGGATCGAATTCTAAGTCCTAGCCTATAGGCGTGCTCAAAGAAAAACACATTATCCCTCATCAATAACAAAACCCACGCCATGATGGATCACTTCGTAATAATGGCTAGTAAACTTCGTATGCTTTTTACAAATAGAATCTAGTTCTCCATGCTATATGCAAGTGTAATGTCTCAACCTCGAGAGGTTTCTATGTCATCACATCAAACTCATTAAAATTAGCTTCCCCTGAAACAAATGCATACTCTCTAACAGGCTTATCTATACTGAAATTTGCCACCAAAGTAAAACCAGTATTTGTTTTGTAATCTAAATTATGTACTAGACAAATATGTATCCAAAGTTTAGACTCTCCAGATTTAGTTCAAAACTCTGATATCAGGTATGTGCATGCAAGTGTTTTCATAAAAAAAGAAAAAAAAAATAAAAAATAAAAAATGAGTAAACAATACTCTTAATTGTTGTACTTCAGTGCAGTTGCATTGGATCTTGCATAAACCGAATAGAGTGGCAAAAGAAGTTCCATGTAGCCAGTCCCAGATCCATTATATGCAATAAGGATTCATCCACTGGAAGATCCAATGTAACTACAGCTTAAGTACAAATAACATTTGTTTTAAATGTGGAGCTTGTTAAATTAGGGGGAAAAAGTTCTCGAGTTGTTGAATTGATAATGAGTTATACATGGTATTTCTTAAGATACATTTTGCATGTGTAAAGAATTCAAAACAGAAATTAATAACAATATTGATTTTTAGTTTACATTTGTAGTCCAACTCAATAAAAGAAACTCCCATAAGGCAATGTGAGGGCCCCAAAACCAGAGTAAAAGGTGTATTTAGAGCTCTTCACAAGTTTTATTGTCATGAATTTTCTTCTCAAAATTTTGGTTTATTAAACTCAATGTAACATATTCTTCTCACTATTACAAGTGGATTCTGAAAATTTAACAAAAAAATGCTTTTTACACATCTAATTAGGCTATTTATATTTCCCAAAGCCCTAACACCAGTACTCAAAGGAAGATGAGTCAAATCTTCATACTCAGAAAGTGTAAAATTAAAAAACCTTTGTGCTAAGCTTAACTTGTCTCAGAGAATATAGGATTGTAAACCAGGCAAAGCTTAATGCAATTCAATGATACAACATGAAGTCTAATCCATCTTTCATTATACATACTTATAGACCCAATGAAATCACATCCTAAGCTACCACACTAGATCATATTAATTTTGATCCCCGTCTCTATAATTTATTCTAGTGTGGCTCACATCGTTTTTTCAAACCAGAACTCCTTAGATCTGCTTTAAGACATGGTTCAATCACCTAACCTAATTTATACTTAATCACATTAGTGGTTGCTTATTTTATGCATTCTAGTATAGCCATACATGTCTCGACATATTTATTATAACTATTTTTTGTCAAATATGAGTGTTATAATGATATTTGTCATTGCAGCCATGTGGAAACGAGGGACCCCCTATTAGTTAATCGGTGACGGGTCACCGTAAGTGGCAGACTGATGAACCATCCCCAAAGCCACCTTAGTTGAGCTGAACCCATTGGAGTCATTGAGTCAACAAGGTGCATAACTTTAGAAGTTTATTTACTATAATACGAAGCATTGGAATACAAATACTCTGCGAATCTGTAATGTTTACCTGCCATCCGGGTGCAAGTGATATTTCGGGGTAGATTCTGGTAGACCTAGTCCGACATCCAAAAAGTCCTTATCAACTCCAACCACGAAACCTGTTCTGACTATAAATACTTGATAAACATACATCACATGGTACGCTTTTCGTCATATACTTAGCTAAGTTGCTAAAACTATGTTCACGTGTTTTTGACATTTTTCACACTCAGATAACCCCAACGAACATTCGTGTTGGAGTGTATACAGATGCTGCAACACCCAGTTCCAATGGTCAAACATTCTAACGTTTGTTTTCAAAGTGCAGATTATCTATGATGGACGGTGATTAGGCTCTTTTTCTGGCAGCTAGGTTCAACTATTCCGACGGCAACAATTAGGAAGTTGAACCCCAGCATTACTAAAAAGTGAAAACAGAGAAAACGCCCAAATATAACTATAAAGGATTCAAAAGCCATGTACCCGAGTAACTTAACAATCAATTATTCATACTACTTAAAAATATGGAAAAATGCGACAATATGCATATCAATTTATTTGTTTAAGCACAAGAAAAAAATAAAATCAGTAGCCTAATTTTAGCTCTGTAGCTCGTACCACATGTTCAACATCAACTTTTTAATAATAAATTCACACTTCAATTGAGACTAAATTTCTCAGATAAACGAAAAATGGAATTTGACATGACTATTATGGTTCAATCTAATTTATAATTTAAATCTAGTAATGCACTGAACATGAAGTACACCTTGGCAAAGTAATCCTTCCATACTCTGCGGGAGATCTGATGACCCCCGAAATCAAATGCCTAAAACTTAATTATCTCAATACTCAGTTCTTCTGACGTCGGATATTGTGTTGGCTGATGTTGAACTAATCTCTGCGACAACCCAATAATCAAATTCAATCAACTCGACAAGATGAAGGAGGTACATACCTAAATTAATAAATAAATACATAAATTCTTGTATTCAATTATTTCCCGAATATATAAAAGAAAATATTTACCTCGGCCTTGAGCATGTGAAGAAGCATGATTTTACTGGCATTCTTGAGACCAAGGAAGAAGATCTTGTCTACTTTTTGTCACAGTACCAGCGATACCAGTACGCCGTAAAACCAGTCCAAAAGTTTTTGTGGATATTTAGATGGAAATTGAGTCGTGACTGATTACGATAGAGTCATACTGGGCGTTTTTCTCTTCGCTCTTAGTTAGGATAGACGGAAAGGTTGTGGGAATCAATGGCTCCCCAACAAGCTAACTTCACTCCTTTGGTAGCTTCGGTGCTCGTCTGAAATGTTAACGTGGTTTTGTTATTCATTTCACGGGTTGCCTTTCTTCTTGGCACAGGAAGGACACTGTGCGACACTAGTATGCTTCGTTAGACTACTTTTCGTCTTTTTTCGATCACGTCGGGACAAAAGATAATTTGATTACAATTTTGTAGAAAGCTTACAATAGAGAATTTGAATACATTGAAAGTAAATTGAACATTGATTAATGAAAATTGAACATTACAATTGTTGAAAACAGGAAATTACAATTGCTGGTGCAGGGGGGACACCAGTGAACTTGAAAGATTTTTGAATGACTAATACCCCTTATAATAGCATTCTGAACAAAAATCCAAGTGACAGGAGTAGACGTTTAAAAGACGAGGAATCATACTAAACGTTTACCAATATCAGAGCTATTTTACAACTGAGATAACTATTACAATGAAAAGAAAATTACAACTCAAACTTGAAGTAATATTTACAATGTGCGGCCGAAGTTGGGCAAACTACGGCTGCAATAGTGTCAAGGGGCTAAGTAAAGTTGCGGTCCTTGACATTCTCCCCCATTTGTTTTGGCAGCGTCCTCGTTGCCATCAATGCATGATACGCTTCAATTAATGATTTGAAGGCCCCGAGATTTTTTTCTCTTTCCCAAGTACTCTCCTTGCTGCTGCATTCCATCCATTTGACCAAGTACTCCTGATGATCTTTTCTAGAAGCCCGAGTGATTCGATGGTCAAGAATAGCTTCAGCAACCTTCTTTCCAGCTTTCTTCAGTTCAAATACAGGTCGCTTTGGCTCATTTCTAAATGCGTCCTCCTTATCCGAAAAGTATGGCTTCAACACACTAACATGAAGGACCTTGTGGATTATACACCATGAAGGGAGTTCAACTCTGTATGCAACTCTTCCAATCCTCTTCACAATGGGTAATGGTCCAATGTATTTTGGTGACAATCTTGAGTCCTTCCCTCTTGTTGGTTTGTAAACATTTTTGTCGGGAAGCTTAACCATTACCAGATCTCCAACATTGAATTCAATAAAACGGCGCTTTAGATCTGCAGCCTTTTTATACCATTTTTGAGCTTTTTCAAGATAACTCCGAGCAATTTCAATATTTCGTTTCCACTCTTGAGAAAAGCTCTTTGCTTGAGGGGACTTGGTACTTCGTTCGATATCCACTGTATGAGGGAGTAGCGGTTGCTGGCCAGTAACAATCTCAAAAGGACTCTTATTGGTGGAAGAGCTCTTTTGGGCATTGAAGCAAATTTGGGCCGCATCCAAAAGTTTTACCCAGTTTTTCTGCGAAATAGAGATAAAGTGCCGAAAATATTCTTCTAGCATAGAATTAAAGCGCTCCGTCTGTCCGTCAGATTGTGAGTGAAAACTAGAACTCATGCTCAAAGTTGAACCAAGAAGTTTGAACAACTCAGTCCAAAATATGCCAGTGAAACGAGGATCTCGATCACTGACGATGTCCTTAGGCAACCCCCAGTATTTGACAATATGTTTGAAGAAGAGTTGAGCTGTCTCTTCCGCAGATACATACTTAGGCGCTGCAATGAAAGTTGCATATTTTGATAGACGATCCACCATGACAATGGTAGTGCCAAAATCCTCAACTTTTGGCAACCCAATAATGTAGTCCATCGATACACTTTCAAATGGCTGGGTTGGAACGGAAAGGGGCTCCAGCAAGCCCGCCTTTTTCTGATGATCTGCCTTATCCTGCTGACAAATAAGATAAGTTTTTACATATGTTGCAATGTCGTCCCGCATTTGAGGCCAGTAGTATGCATGTTGTAATAGTGCACAAGTGTGTTCCTCTCCGGGATGCCCCACCCAAATTGTGTCATGGCATTCCGTAATTAGTGATTTCCTCAGATCTCCGCCCTTAGGAACATATAGGCGGTCTCCCTTTGTCTCCACTAGTTTCCCATCTAGCCAGAACTGTCGAGTTTTACCCTGCTTGATAAGGTCGACCAAATATTGGGTAGCCGGTTCCTTCTCTATAAGTGCCCGAATTTGGTCTCTAGTGTTCGTGGAGACTGCGCTCCCTGAAAGAGCAGCTACAGAGCAGATGGTAGCTAAATTGGCCCGTCGACTAAGAGCATTGCAACATGATTACTAGAGCCGAGACGATACTCTAACATAAAATTGAACGCTGAAAGGAATTCCTGCCAACGAGCCTGTTTGCTCGATAGTTTTGGTTGGGACATAAAGTGACTAACTGCAGTGTTATCTGTCTTCACAATAAATGGAAACCCAAGCAGATAGTGACGCCATCCTCTGAGACAATGGACTACTGCTAACAATTCCTTTTCATGTGCCGAGTAACGACGTTCTGTCTGGTTTAACTTTCAGCTCTCATATGCTACTGGATGTCCTTCTTGCATGAGAACTCCACCAAGGGCAAAATCTGAAGCATCTGTATGAACTTCAAATGGGTTAGCCATATCAGGTAAGGCTAAAATCGGGTTCGTCCACATGGACTTCTTCAACCTTTCAAAAGCAGCTTGGCATTGGGATGACCAATCCCAATCCTTATCCTTCTTTGTTAATTCAGTAAGTGGCAGTGCAATTTCTGAGTAACCTTTCACAAATCTTCGATAGTAATTGCATAACCCAAGAAATGAACGTACATCATGTACGGTTTTTGGTGGTTGCCAGTCTTTGATGGCTGTAATCTTCTTCGAATCCATGCGAATTTTACTTTGTTCAATGATGTGACCCAAGAAACTGATAGATGTCTGAGCAAATGAGCATTTAGACGGCTTAGCATAAAGTTCATTCTCTCGTAGCCGATTAAAAACTTGCCTCACATGCTGGACATGTGCCTCCAATGTCTCACTGTAGATTACTATGTCATCCAAGTACACCACGACAAAGTCATCTAAGAACCCGTGAAGTACCTGATTCATCATAGTACAAAATGTTGCTGGAGCATTTGTCAAACCAAAAGGCATCACCTTAAATTCAAAGGCTCCATATCTGGTTATCACTGTAGTCTTTGCTTCGTCTCCTTCCTTAATCCGAACTTGCCAGTATCCGGATCTAAGATCAATTTTTGTGTAATAATTCGCCCGACTCAGTCGATCGAAGCAATCTGCAACAAGTGGGATATGATAGCTATTCTTTACAGTAATCTTGTTCAAAGCTCGATAGTCACAGCACATTCTAAGAGAACCATCAGTCTTTTTCTGAAACAATACAAGAGCTCCGTATGGTGACTTCGCAGGCACAATGATTCCACTCTCCAACATTTCCCCCAATTGCTTCCTAAGCTCTTCAAGCTCAGGCTGAGACATACGATATGGTGGCCTGGCGGGAGCTTTAGCGCCTGGAATAAGTTCTATCTCATGATCAATCGTCCTTCTTGGTGGTAATTTCTTTGGTAATTCTTCCGGCATGATGTCCTCAAATTCCCGAATAAGCCTTTTAACGGGTTTTGGAATAGGACCATTCGCCTCTTTGACCTCCTCTAATCGAAGAGTGCACAAAAAGGAGGGTTCATTTCTCTTGAAACCTTTACTAAATTGCATGGCTGAGATACTCTTCTCGCCCATCCTCCCAACCTGTGTAGGGATGACACACGGCTTATTACCCATCATTATTAACGAATCGGAATAGGACAACACTACTGTCTTAGTATCCCGAAGAAATTCCAATCCTAGAATAAGCTTGAAATCATCCATCTGAACTGCAGATAAATTTGTCCTTCCCTCGAAAGGACCTGCTTTGATCAACACCGATTTCGCCACTCCAGCTATTGGTTGAGCAGCGGAGTTGATTGTTTTGACTTTTCCACTACCCTTTTCTAGAACAAGTCCGAGCCGCTCTACTTCGGTACATGCAAGGTAGTTGTGGGTAGCACCAGTATCCACCATAGCTCTGATTGGCTTCCCATTGATTTTTACATCAATGAACATTAAGCCTTTGGCCCTACAAATGCGAGCCTTCGCTTCTTCCATCTTTGCCTCTTTTAATGGGACATCACCCTTTTCAGTAACTCGATGCGATAGTGTGTTGCACCGATGTGAAAATGCCCCAACTACTTCCTCATCCTCTTCAGAGTCAGTCTCACTATGACAATTAGCCTGCGGGGCCTCTTGTTTTGAACTTGGCCCGCCACTTGCTAACTGACAATATGCATTCACCATCCGCTTTTGAGGACACTCTGACACCCGATGAGGTCCTTCACATAAAAAGCACTTCAATTTGGGAGTGGCATCAGTTCGGCCCTCCGTTGCTTTTCTAGTTGTTATTATTACTGCCGTTAAAATTTCCCTGACGACTGTTATGATAGTTTCCCTGAAAGCCACGGGTGCTTTGATAGGCTCCTTCTCTATTCTGAGAGTAACGCTCTCCCCCATTTGGGTTCGAACTGGGTTTGTAAGATCTGTTACCATCTCCAATTGCTTGGTTACTCCCTGAAGGTCGATCTTTTCTAGATTCTGTTTGGTAGTCGCTCAAGCATTCAGCGGCTCCCATGGCCGTGCTTAAATCAGTAACCTTCTGTCTTTGAAGTTCCGTGCGTGTCCACGGTTTCAACCCTTCCATAAAGGTGAAGAGCTTATCCTTTTCTGACATATCTCGAATATTCAGCATATGCCCTGAAAAGGATTTCACATACTCCCTGATAGAGCTCGTGTGTTTCAGGTCCCGAAGAGCCCGTCGAGCCTGATATTCGACATTTTTCGGGAAAACTGCGATCTGATCTCTTCCTTGAAGAGATCCCAAGAATCAATTCGAATCCTGTGGGCCTGAATGTCCGCATATTTGGTTCGCCACCATAGTTTTGCATCTCCACCCAGATACATGGTAGCTGTGGTTACCTTTTTAGCTTCATCTTCGATCGAAACTGCTAGAAAGTACTGTTCCATATCAAACAAGAAGTTTTTGACTTCTTTTGCATCATGTGCTCCTCCGTAGGTACACGGTTCAGGAATTCTGAGTCTAGGAGCATACTCGTGTGCGGGAGCTTGCCCATTGCCCACCACACGTTAGAGTACTCGCAATTGAGCTCTCAACGCTT